AAAAATATAGTAATGTTTAAGTAACCATTTTAAAACTGTTCAACAATATTTTACATATTATTCCATTATTATTAAATAAAATTTCTCTTCCACTTCGGTTAAGTTTTATTATTTTAATGTTTATTTATTTTTATAGAAAGTTTATATTTGTGTTGTAAATATTACATGATTTATTTTCTTAATTACTTATTTGAAATATATTTATATTTCCCTTTTTTGTTAATGAATTTTAAATTATAATAATATTTCATTTTTCATTTTTTATTTCATAATTTTTTCTTTTTTATAATGTTTTTGTACCAAATATTTCTGTTTTTTATGATTTTCAAAATTATTGAAGCGGTTTATATTTCATTATTTTTTTTGTATTCACAATAATATTGCATAATATCTAAAAAAGTTAAATATGATTTTAGTCCCTAAAATATCAAGCAATTTTATTTTTAGTCTCTCTTTCAAACTAAGATACCTTTTGCTCCTTATCCTTTAGGAAAACATAATTTGTCGTCCTAAAAAACGAACAACGTTAAGTAGAGGTTGAGCTAGCGATTGCTATGGCTCGAGTGAAAGAAATTAGGGTTCATGGTTCGATCGTTTTTGCTTGTCGATATGTTGTGACTCGTGATCTCAAGGTGAAGAGCAAACAACGGGAAAGAGCTTCAAGAGAGAAGGTGAATTTCATCTTCTTCAGCGTTGTTTGGCTGGAGTGTTGGGATTATTTACTTCGCAATTAGATCGATTCCATCAAACCAGGTAATATTTACTGTTTGGTTTACTGTGGATGCAGGGTTGTGGTGCACTTGTGTGTGTAATTTTTCATTTTACCCAGTTGTGAAGGCATATAATTGAACAAAGGTAAATTTTCATTGTCGATGCAATGATAGTAATGTTTTTGACGTTGAAGTGCTTGACTAAGTGAGTAGTCGGATTCAATAAAGGCTCTTTTTTTTTTCGGACCCAATATATGTTCCCTGCAATAAGACAATTTTTATCTGCATCACCATGGGGAAGTTCATGAGAAACAAGGGGCCTTAGATAGAATATGTGGGAAGGAGAACTACCGAAAAAGGAGGGGCTAGAATATGTGGGAAGAGAAATACATGTTATAAAAGGAATTACCTTGTTCTTCATGAACTTCCCCATGTGATGCAGAGACACGTCAAAAAGCATTGCTAATCATTGCATCGACAATGAAAAATAATTACCTTGTTCAATGAATAATGCATCCACAACATGGTAAAATGAAAAATTACACCAACAAATGCACACAAAACACTGCTAATAACTCGTACGTAATTGAGAAAATGAGAAGACATTAAATCATGTATGCTTTTTTTAGGATTATAATTTATAGTACAAGAATGTTTGTGTATATGTAAATTCAAACTCCTATCCTTAGAGAAAAGTATGTTTCATAGTTATTATTCAATATGCTTTTTGGATAAATGATACTTCTTATCTATATTTGTTAAGTGATTCAACTGAAGGTGAAAAATTAGCCATAAAAATTGATAGAAAGAAGAAAGGTCAAGAAGAAAATGGTGGAGCACTCACACTTAGAGTTCTGGTATGTTCATTCATCTTTCATTTATTCTGGAATTCAGCTAAATATATTTGGAATGAGTTTACACTTACTTTCTTAACTCATATATAAATAAAATAAATTACTAACTGCAAATAGTTTTTTAGTAAAAAAGAAAGTATTGATGTTCGTACTTGTTAATTAGGTTGTTGTTAAACCTTTTTGCTTGAATTAAAGTCATAAGATAATGCATAAGATATATTAAAAAGATGATAATATATATATTTAAAAATTTACATCACAGTTACATCTGGTTAAATAATTCACTTGATATTAAAATAGATAGTGTTTCTATGCGACTAAATAAATTTACAAAAATATTTAAATTAAAAATAACGTTTACGAATATTAAAAATATTTTAAATTCAATTGAAAACAATATTTTAAGGTATTAAATTTTTAAAAATTACTAAGGCGTAAAACATAAAACAATAATCATTACAACATAGTAAAAAGTATTCTAAATAAAAATATGATGTATTAAAAGAAAAGAAAAAGTCCAACTATTTTTATATCATAACATGATTTCCGAAAAGAAAAGGACAACGCTCATCCTACTCTCTCTTCTGTGGGTCTTCCTAGTATCTTTCTTTTTCTATCTCTTTTTCGATTATGCTTTTTTTCAGAGTTTATTGTTTTTCTTTATAAATTCTTTGACCTTATTTAACACATCTTTTGATTTTGCCTTAGTTTTCTTCTGTGTCTCAATCATTCTTGCTAAACATAGTCTACATTCTGCTGTTTCATGGCTGTGAAACTACGGTATTTGGCTGTGTAGAATTGAAAATTGGGTTCAATTTTCAGATTCTTCTATTGGTAAGGATTATGAACATTCTACTGTAAATTCTCACTGAGATTGTTTTTTGGTCTTGTACTATGTATGACTTTCTTTAAACTAAACTTGTTTTTTCAAAGAATATCTGTTTCTTCCTTCTTGCCGATTCTGGTCTGTTCATGTAACCTCTTCTAACCTTCCTCTGCCATTTGCAATGTTTTTTGTTTATATTCTAATCTGTGTTTATATTTGCCATCTCTTTCTATTGATATATGCAAGTTGTGTTGATATTTATGAACGAGTGCTTGAAAGGTTACATTTGGTTTCTGGAAAGAAAACATGTCTCTTTTACTAAATTTTATTGTGGCTTCTTTCTTTCCTTGTCTTCTTTTTCTTTTTTAGTAATTTTTTTTTACCTTATTTAATTATGATCTTATATATTGATAATCACAATTTTGTTTCAAGCTAGTAAGGTTTATCACGATTTAGTCAATTACTCTGTATGGCCTGCAAAAAGAAGAATTAAAGAAAACAGAAAAGATAAATCAATTATTAGAAAAATGTTCTTCAACTCCAAATTCTCAAATAACATAACACCATTTCTTATTATAGTTTTTTTAACATATTTTCTATTATTATTTTAAATTCTTTTATAGTTTTAAAAATATAGTAATGTTTAAGTAACCATTTTTAAACTGTTCAACAATTATTTTACATATTATTCAATTATTATGAAATAAAAATTTCTCTTCCACTTCGGTTAAGTTTTATTATTTTAATGTTTATTTATTTTTATCAAAAGTTTATATTTATATAATTTAGTATTTCTTTTTATTTTTTATTTTATAATGTTTTTGTACCAAGTATCATTTTCCGTCTTTTATGATTTTCAAAATTATTGAAGCGGTTTATATTTATTATTTCTTATATTTCATTATCTAAAATTACATTTTTTGCGCTTGGTATCATTACTTTTATTTCACACCAATATTTTCTTTTAAATCTTTCACCGCGTGAGAATCTAAAATCTGGATTAAAAGAGTGGATTAGTGCATTAGACTAATAGAACCAGAGTTATTATTTTATTATAAATATGGATTTCTGAACCGCCTGGTTCATTAGTCTACTTCCACTATCTCTCTCTAAAAACTCATTTTTCAGATTTTTCTCTGCCTTCTCTCTACCACATCTATGCCTTCTCTCTTCCATTCCTCTTTACTGAGCCAGTAGATTTCCGATCAGGTGGTGCCGAAACGTTCGCAACGTAGAGGGCTTCGAAACGGACCGATTCGTTTCGGGTTTTAGGCTGGTAAGTCCTTGCATGCAGCCTCTTCTTTGTTCTTGAACCTAGCACATGAAATCTTTGTTGGTTGCATGTGTCTTGTGCTTTCATCTTTTTCATTTCTCCCCTCCATTCTAGCTCTAAGAGTTGTTCTATCACCAATGTGGTGTTCTGTAGGATTTTGTTAAGTCCTCACAACTCGAGGTACTGTTAGGGCATTCCAGTGAGCTGTGTTGTTCAACTCCAAGGTAAGGGAAGCTAGGTCTTTCTTAAAATTTATTTTTATGAAGTATGTAGATGTGCTGAACTTTGTGTTGGGTGAACTATTAGGGTTTTAGGCTACTTTGAGAGGAAGTGAGGTAGTGATTTTGAGCATTAGAGGTCTTGAGTGCAATTGGGCTGTTTGGGTAGCTCAAATAGGTCAATTTTAACTTGTTAGGAACATCAAACTGGTCTAAAACGAGTTACAAGTGATAAAATTGAATTTGGGTCACTAAGTTGTTGATTCTGGTGTTCTAGAGTAGAAATTGAGTCTAAATCACTTTAAAATTATAGTAGGAACGTTTATAATCATCTAGACAAGTTTAATTAGGTGTAAAACATGAATTAGAGGTGTTAGAAATTTGAGAAAAGGCCTAGAAATGGTGAGGGTTTGTGAGTGCATCATTCTGCAGAATTCGCGTTCTGCAAATGATGCAGAGTCGCTATGCAAATTTTCTCGCATAGCGAGTCCTTGCAGAGGGTGCTCTCTGTTTAAATCATTCGCTGTGCGAGCTGGTACGTTGTGCGAATGACTGGAGGGTGCTGCTCTATGTCTGGTGATTTGCATAGCGAATCCTGTTGCTATGCGATTGGTGATGGTCTCGAACTACTAAGATTTTAATTCAAAGGGCGAGTTTGGGCGCATAGCGAGTCTTTGGGAGGGGTAGTCTCTGTCTAGGCTCTCGCATAGCGACTTGGGTGCGCAATGCGAGAGGTTTGAATTTTGGTGTATGCTGCGAGTCAATTCGCATAGCGAATTAAGGGGTGCGCTGTGCGAGACTCTCTTGTCCCGCCTTGCGAGTAGGATGCGCTCTGCGAATCCTTTGAGTCCAGATTTCTCTTTTGCTTTTGCTTTGGTTGAATTAAGTGTGTGGATTGATTGGAATGCATAGTACGCTGGTGGTAATATTATTATATTGAAAGTATGTGAATGTATGAGACATGTTTGGTGGTTGAATGTAACAAAGTGTGGTTATTGGACGTAATTTCATGCTCCTCAAGGAGAGGATTCATGGTGGTGCCCTTGGTATGTTTTAGAATGATTTGCATGGTAGCTCAGTCTTGGGGGTTATCCTGAAACTACAATGGTCAATCATTCTCAAGTAGAGAGGATTGAATCATGTCGTGAGTAGTAGCAGGAGGTCCTAGTCTTGGGTGCTTCCAGTATAGCCCAAGGTGAGTGATAACAGACTAACCTCGTGAGTGTGGTAGGGTGAAACCCATTGGCAATGGCTTTGCAAAGCAGTAGAGGCCACCACGAGTGCATGACCCGCCATAGCTCGTCAATCATTCTAAGTCTGGACGAGTCAAGTGTAAAGTGTAACAAGTGGTGTTGTATGGTTCATTAACTTTGAATTAAACTTGCAGGTTGTGTGTGATTGTTATAACATGATTTTTGTATATCTAGCTCACCCTTGCTTTTGTGTTTGTGTTTTGCTTGCGTGTGTTTTTCTTTTGCAACGATCATCCACTTGGATGTGAGCAGAGGTGGATGAGGTACCCTGAAGCAGGCCCTGGATGGTGATGATGCTGCAACTTAGTTTGTTTAAGAGTTTCTAAATTAAGTTCTATCATTTTGAAATACTCAAGGTGTTTAGTTTTAAATTATGACTAAATCTGGGATGACTGTAACCTTAATACCTTATTTACAGTCTTATTCTAACTGTTATTTTATATTAAAAATGTGGACTGCTATATTATATATTTATATATAATTTGGGACGTTACCCAGTGCCTATATAATTTTCATTCAATAATAACTCGTATGTAATTAAGAAAATGAGAAGACATTAAATCATGTATGTTTTTTTTTTAGTTGAGGATTATAATTTATAGTATAAGCGTGTTTGCATATATGTAAATTCAAATTCCTATCATTAAATAAAAGTATATTTCATAGTTATCATTCAATGAATGTCTTTAGGATAATGATACATCTTATCTATATTTGTTAAGTGATTCAACTGAAGTTGAAAAATTAGCCATAAAAACTGATAGAAGGAAGAAAGATTCAGAAGAAAATGGAGCACTGACACTTAAAGTTCTGGTATGTTCATCTTTCATTTATTCTGGAATTTTTTCCAAATGATGAGATTTGTAACTAACTAGGTCTATAGAATCAATCACTGATTTACAAATTTTGGTAGTGATATGTTCTTGCCCAGTCAAGGACATAGGAAATAAACTACACACTACATTGCTAAAAAAACTTCAGACCAGAGCCCATCTGATTCTTATTTTGGTGTTTTTCTTAATTCAACGGTTGATGACAGTTCTAGGCATTACAAAGCTGAGACTGAGCATAACTGGCGTAGGGTGTTGTTTCATTTATGAAAACATTGTAGTCTTTTCTTAATTGATGTGCTGCTTTGGTTTTTATTGCTTAAAATTTGAGAGGTTTTGCATTGTTTTGAAACTTTGTAGGACATCTTTTGTTATTAATTCTAAAGGTCGAAGCAGAGCTCACATACAAGTCTCTTCTTCAAATCACTCACTGATTTGAGGTTTATTCTGTGCTTACATCTGTTGCTACATTATACATAAGAAATACTAATTGCTTCTTACGAAACGAGGTATATGAAGCTAGGTACAGAAACCTGTCATCATTAGATCAAAACTCAATCCCTAATTAGCCATTTTAGAAATACAAATAGTGTGATATTGCTCCCATTTGATGAGTTCTTCATTATGCAATCTAGTTTCACTAGAGATGTAATTCATCTAGTAACTTTTGAGTTTAGCTGTCATATTAATGTAAAGGTTTTACACCGTCATATAACTATTCTTTATTTTTATAAATTTGATGTGGATTGTGCTTGTATTCAGGTAGCCGATGAACTTGTATCGGAATTTGCTGATCCAAGCAATGGTGCTTCAACTCCTGATCAGGTTTTTTCCTTTTGTATAAATTCTTTCAGACCGAGAGCGTAAAGATTAATATTATGGACTTGATGTTTTCGGATTAACATTTGACAGCAACAATATGACGAGAAAAATATCCGTCGGAGGGTTTATGGTGCTTTGAATGTTCTAATGGCAATGGATATTATTTCTAAGGATAAAAAGGAAATACAATGGAAGGGTCTTGCTCGCACAAGTGTAAGCAATATTTAAGATTTAAAGGTTTGTAAACAGGTTGTTTTATTTTTGGTACATGATTTCACTTGATGCTCTCTGTTATTCTGAATAATACAAAAAAAATCAAATTATAATTTTAACTCATAATCAGTTCAACAGACAGAACGTCTTGGGCTAAGGAATAAAATTGAAAAGAAAGCATCCTATTTGCAAGAGCTGGAGGATCAAGTAAGGGCCGCTATCAATAGTGGATTTAGTCTGGGTTTGAACTCCTGTGCCTAGTTTACGTTTTCAAATTTGCAACTCTTTTGTAAGAAGGCCCTATGGATTTTTTTACATAATGTTTGATTTCTGTTTGCTAACTTTTGTATTAATTTATGAAGTACATAGGTCTTCAGAAACTTATTGAACGAAATGAACAGTTATATAGCTCTGGGAATGCTCCCAATGAGGTGTATCTTTACCCTTCATTCTGGTGCAGGTATGCTATGATGTACTGTCTTTGGTTATTTTGTCCACTACAAATAGTTTCTAATTTTTCCGCTTTGGATCTTTGATTTGTTAGATAGTGCCTATGCTTATATCTCCTTGGTCTTAAGTCTGATGTAACTGGTCACCATTCACTTAATATGTTGGCTTAAGGCCTAAAGTTTAGATTACAAGTGATGAGACCTCAGTTCTGCTTCTTGGGTAAATTGAGTAGAATATTTTTTCTTCACCATTGTTATGAACATTTGTTAGAACTTGACATTTGAAAATAAATGTAGTTACTAGGGTTACTAATAATATTTATTCCATTTATTTTGCTTTTCTTAGGTAAGTTAGTCACTTTTTCAGCTCTAGGCTTATGGATATCTATACAAGATTTATTATGATGATAGTTGTAGACTACAAAGGTTTAGGAAGATCGAGCGCACCCTTAAGCAAGAAAGTAACTAACTAAAGAAATATATGTAGAGACATATATTTCTTCACTAAACAAACCTAGTGATAGACTCATAAATAAAACGATTTACACATATCTCTAATTATTGCAATTACATAGAGACAGCTCCTCACTACTTTCTTTACATTAACTCCAATAAAATATACAACTTAATATTCGTTTTATATTTATAATAAATATCAAACCGAATCAAACCAAATGTTAGTTTTTTTTTAATCATATTTTTCATAGATCACCCACACCTCACTTTAAAAAACTTCACAACTTATTTGTCTAAATGAATGAATACTTCAAAACATGTTTTTTCTCTCTCTATATACTTCTAAAATTTTCAACATGAAACTTTACTGTATGAAACTTTATTATGGTGTTGAGACAAAATCAAGACACTTAGATAAATTATCAAAATGATCTTCACCAAACACTAATAAATGATGAAATCATATATAAGGAGCCATGCAATTGCAAAACAGAATGTAATATTTTGGATCGGGAACAAAAATATTACTTTTCGACAAAGAATTTCTTTTTTTCTGTTACATTTAGATAAATTAATTAACACAGAAAGATTCGTGCATTTTTATCATTTTTTTATGTTTCCCATTACTTTTATTATCCTTCTGGATTTTTTTGAAAATTATGATGTTAGTCCTAGTTACTTCTAATGATTGCATGGCTTATTGAACTTTGGATAACACTATAGCCCTACTGCACTTTATTTTGGCTATTGGATCGTTCGGTGCTGTTTGAGAATAGACATTGTGGTGTGCATTAAAAACTGACCAGTCAGAATTGTGTTGTGCATTAATGCCTTTATTCAATGTCTAATTGGCGCAATAACTGGTGATACATATACAATCAGGTGCATGCTTTGAATTGGAGTTCATGTATGAAATTAAGTGTTTTTCTGGCCTTAGATGCAATATTTAATTCCTGCTATGTTAGAGTTGCTTTGTGCATGAATAAGAAGTTGGTAATTGTCGGAGACAAAGATGTTACATAGTGAAGAAACTTAATGCTATATTGCTATGTAAAAGCTACAAACATATATAGGAAGATATCTTCATGTGAGAAACTTGTTTTTGGTTGAATGCATGGTTAATCAGATTCTCTTGCCATGTGCCAAAACTCTCTCCCTCATGAGACTATGAACCCTGCTGTCATTGAATTGTACACTCTTTCTTTAGCCTTCTTTGCCTGAAAATGAAAGCAGATTCCAGAAAAACACAACCACATCAGAATAAGAATTTAAAGGAAGATGCAAAGTTATAACAAAAAGGCAAAAGTTTACCTCTTGCTCCCAGTCAGTGTGTGTTGTAATTACAAATAGGCATGACACCTGAACAACTAGTGCACATATGATTCCCAGCCAAAGGCCCTACAAAAAGTAGAATCACAATTTTTTTATGAAATCACAAAAGTGAGAAGACTGATTCAGAAAAACTTTAACTTGCTTACCTTCCCACCGATGTGCATGACAAAAGAAAAGAAGATAGCTGATGGAATCCCAACTAAATAGTATGATCCTAGGTTAATGAAAGCCCCTATCTTTTGCCAACCACATCCTCTAGCTGTGCCTGAATTAATGTAAACAACGATGTTTATTCTTCAAGAAAATGAGTTACAAGCAACATTGTTTCCACACATAGCAGATATTTATCTGCATTGAACACATAATTTTGTAGAGAAATAGTATCATGACACACTTTTATACTCATTTGACACATACTACAAGGGTAAAATGGTCATAAAAGTATAAATTTTTGTATTATTTCAAGAAAAAATAGAGTAAAAAATAAATAAGGGTAATGTAAAATGAATGTAAAAAATTTAAATGTGTCAAATGAATGTAAAAAATTTAGGCGTGTCAAATAATCATTACTCAATTTTGTATTTCAGTTTGCAAGCAACCTTTCGACTGAGTGAAAAAATGTTTCTGCAGTTTTGTGTTGGAAGATTTGCTATTTCAGACATGACTCTGCTAGGACCAAAAATGAAAGGAATATAAGCAAGAAAAACCTGAAAGAACACACTGTAGTGCATCCAGAAAAATGGATAACGCAAGAATTGGCAACATGATAGCTACATATTGGACCACTTCCACTTCATTACTATATGCATAGCCCCAAATATTGCGCAGTAGTATCATCACTGCTCCAATCAAAGTTCCCTCAATAACTGCCATTATAAAGACAAAGTACACAGCTAAGCGTGCTGCTCGAGGGTGACCAGCTCCTAGCTCGTTTGAGACACGAGTGCTGCAAAGAATCATGCAATTTATTACTACAACAACCACACAAAAAGACAAGTACTACAAGGTAAAGTACGAAGAGAACAGAAAACTCTGACAACTTGGTATATTCTATAGAAAATTGATCATGCATTTGAAAAAATTGCAATAGCTACTCACCTTACAGCTCCACTGAGTCCAAAGGGGATCATCCAAACAGTTGTCGAAGTATTCAGGCTGATTAACCAATGTTAGAGTGCATTAGAAACAGCGTTTCTAGTTTTCTCCTCAATATAAAACTATTGTATCAAAATAAATGTTCAATATGATACTGACTAACCAGATAGAAAGCACTGATGCTTCCAATTTTGGATTTGGAAGAAGGCCAGAGAGGAGAACCATCATTTCAAATGACCACATTTCCAAGCTGTTCGAGATAACATTAAAAATGGATAAAGAAACTGTCTTTTGAACAAATAACTGTGTAGGATTGGAAAAAACAATGTAACTTTGACATGAAAGAGTGTTGATAAAAAATTTGTGAAGAGAATATACCAAACCATAAAAGCTGAAGGAATTGCAAGTCTAAGAAAAGAAGGGATGCCATGCAATGCCTCTTTCGAAAATCCAGTCCATGTTTTTGAACACGAAGGAGAAAACTTGACATAGAGTATCAGCATGAAGACATTTATCCAGTAGGATATAGCATTTGCTATGGCAGCTCCTCTGTAACCCAGTCCAGATTTGAATACCATGGTCCAACATATAGCAATATGCAGTAAAGTAGTGACTCCAGAACTTAACACCATTGGAAATAGAATATTTTGAGTTTGCAAAAATCTGTTGAGGCACTGAAGAAGACCATAGGCAAAAAGGCTTGGAATCATAAGCCGAGCATACTGTCCAGCTTCTGCAGATATTTCATGATCTTGGCCAAGGGCAATCAGAATAGATCCTGTGTTTGCCCAAATAAATGCAAGGTGTATGCTAACAATCATGAGAACAAGCATAGCCCTCTGCATGTGTATGCCTAACATATAGTGCTGCTTTGCTCCATATGATTGGCCACACAAGGTATCCAAAGCACTTGCCATTCCCACCTATTTGAACAAAAACACAAAAATATCTCAGAGAAAACATGTAGTGTTCAGCTACACTATACATGTTGTGGGTTTATCATGAAAGAGGTTCATTATGGAGATAAACACCGATAAAATATGAGACTAATCATATAAAGAATTGACATCATTTTCTATTCAAAATATTAAAACAATAGATTAATGGATCTTCAAGTATTCTACGTTCTTATTTCTACCTAATATTATACAAGACAAGAAAACCAATAACACAACTCACCAATAAGCTAAAACCAGTGACAGAGGCAAAGGAGGTAGCCATTGAAGCAGCAGAGAGTGGCAATTGGCCAAGATGCCCCACAAACATTACAGATATAATTTGTAGGGAATAATTTAATATAGAAACAGATACTAAAGGCCCTGCTAGCCATAACTGTTTCCTCAGTTCTTCACAGAGTTCAGCTCTCTCTATTGCCTTGTTCTGGTTTAGTTGTATGCTATCAACTTTGAGCTTATCTTCAACTGTGATATGTATCAATGGAGATTGTATACATGACTTTTGATCTTCTCTATCCATTGCTTCGTTGGAAGACACAGACACGAGTTTAGGACACCATAAATAGTAATACAGAAAGTGTTAAAAGAGATATTTATAAGATATGACACAGGAATAGATACAGTAGTACTCTGTCTTCTTCTTGTCACGCTTTTAGATATTTAATTTCCGTCTCTTTGGATAAACTCTTTTTGTGTCAGAAAGGAAAAATAAGTTAGAGAAATTAAATAAGTCATAATTGTATTCCCAAAAATACAATTAAAATTTTTCATAATTTATAAAATGCCATATATATATATATATATATATATATATATATATATATATATATATATATATATATATATATAACAACTAATAAATTAAATTCATAAAAATAGTCTTTCCATTTTTCTTCTTCAAATTATTAATAAACTTTAAACAAAACGAAAAAGGGCAAAAACCGGATGATGGAGATTCCCTTGATTTTTAATTCTCGCTCTCCCTTTTTAGATGTTTTTTTATGCTCTTTTATGGTTTATCTGTTGTTAATTTTTAATTTTTATTTTTTCATAATTTTGCAGATTAGGGTTGTTCATATTGTATTTTGTTCTATGGCTTGCAGATTATGGAGTTTCACTTGTATAACTATCTTTCAACTTAACAATTTATATTTTAATATTATAAAATTTGGAAACTTTAATATTAAATTTGTTAGAGATAATAATCAAGTGGCCATGATGTTTGAGTGTTACATTTTTAAGTAACAGAAGTTATATATTAATTATTGAATATGATTTTATTTTAAAACTAATATTAAAAGTTTGATTATCTATTAATCATTTAAACAATTATATATGATTATAAAAGTATTAAATTTGTTACGAAATAAAAAAATATCATATCAATAACACCGAACATGAAATTAATGAAATAGTATTTTTTTTTCTTTACTTTTCTTTCTTGAAGTAAGACATTTACCTTTTCTTTTGTTAGGAGATAGAGTCATATTTTCTTTTAGTATATTTTAGAAAATTTTGATATATCCTCGTATGGGAGTATTTATTGTTTTATAGCATGATATGATATATTTTTCTCTTTAAAAATATTTGTTTTAATTTATTAATAATTCTGTGAAATTTACTGTTCTAGTTTCTTGTCTCTATTTACAGTTATTTAATTCTGTGAAATTTTCCTTAGGGTTTCTTTGTTTTTTTTCTTTCTCTAAACACAGTCATGGATCTGTCATTATAATATTGGAAATTTGGAAGTTTAAAAGTTTTGCAGTCTAAATCCAACATTTTTTCTTCAGCCATCTCACAAAAAATATGCAAATATTTGACATCAGAAATAGTTGGAGAAAATCGAAGTTTAATATTGGTCTGCACTCTGACTTGGTAGGCTGATACACCAAACAATGCACAAAATAAATCCATATAGTAGTCTTTAGTCAAGTGGCTCCTGTTATTAATCAAGTGTATCAAATACTTTAATGCTTAATAATATTTTAAAAGTTAAATACTTAAAATGTATTATAAATATATATGCCAATATATGAGTTTAATTTATTTTTTGCAAACTATTACACTTTTAAGTGTTATTATTCTTTAAAAAAAATTGCAGAGAAATTATTTTTAGAAATATAAAAACGTATTTATCATAATTTTCCTTTTGGTAATTATCTTTCTCAAAATTTTATTGGCAGGATAACGTTTTTATTTAATTTTGATGACGTAAAAAAATAATACAGTGAACTAATAAAAAGCCATTTAAATACAAATTTTAAAATAATTATTATAAGAATTGATTAATTTATTATAACAATGGGATTGGGTGCCTTATAAGCAAATTTTAATTAATTCTTTCTCTCTTACGACTATTTTTATTGAATGAGTTTTTTTGAATGAACTATAATAATATTACGTAAGGTTTTCATGATAGAATCTAAATTCGGTTTTTTTGACTAATTCTCATTAAGTTGGCTTATCTTAATGTCACTTCTGAAAGTCGTATTACTACATTAAACTTGTATTGCATTGCTGATTATTGTAAGAAAATAATTCATCATTCTGTAGTATTAAACTGATGGCATACTACGACTAAAATTGAATAATATTATAATATAGGCAAAAATATCACTTTTCACGTTTTTCACGAATGATAATAATATGAAAAGAAGAAGTAAAAGAAGAACTAAAACAAGAGAGTTGAATGAATTTTTTTTAATAGAATATTTTCCAAATATAAAACCAGCACGTTTCAGTTTGATCTTCTATTTTCTTCTCACCAATTTCTTAAATTGTTAAAACAAATTTTACCTGTTGTACTGTTAAAACATAGTTGCAGAAGAAACCATACTTTCTAAAGTCAGTAAATTTTACAGTAACAATCATAGAAAGAAAAAAAAAGAAAAAGAATAATGGTAAAGAAATACACTTTTACATGTATTTTTTCAAGAAAAAAGAAAATAAAAAATAAGTAAAAATAGTATGATATGAATGTAAAATATTTTTGTGTTAAAATATCATTATTCAAGAAAAAATCTCGATAGTTTAGATTAAAAGAGGTGTTAAATATATTTTTTTTACATTTATATGATTTTTTCTTCCAAAAATAAATCCCATAAAGCTTGCACTACCTTCTAAGAAAGGAGTAGCATAACTCCAAAAAGGTCATGGGAAAATGCTAGGAAAGTTATGTTTGCATTAGCCACCACAAGTGTCCAACGTATACCAAAATAGACAATTCAACCACGTAAACTGTTTTTGGTGTATAATGATTGTCCTTACTAACTATTGAACATGCATCTCATGATTCATGATCAACACACCAAAATTTACTTCTTTTAGTGTCCTTGCTCTTCCACTATAAATACCACACACCTAGCTTTGCATAAACACACACACATTTACACTCTCAAACATTATGATAAAGGAACAAGAGATTGAAGAAGTGAGAGATGGAGAACTTCCCAGTGATCAACCTTGAGAATATCAATGGCGAGGAGAGAAAGGCTGTCCTAGAGAAAATCGAAGATGCTTGTGAAAACTGGGGATTTTTTGAGGTATCCCACAGAAATATATTTGCTACCTTAAGTTTTCTTCATGTTCATTTTTACCATACTGATGATGTTGCTTTCTTTCCTAATTGTAGTTGGTAAATCATGGAATACCCCTTGAACTTTTGGATACTGTGGAAAGGTTAACGAAAGAGCATTATAGGAAATGCATGGAGCAAAGGTTCAAGGAGGCAGTGGCAAGCAAGGGATTGGAGGGTGTCCAAGGTGAAATAAAGGACATGGACTGGGAGAGCACCTTCTTCTTGCGCCATCTTCCACATTCAAACATCTCTGAAATTCCTGATCTCAGTGAAGAGTACAGGTAAGGCAAATTGAAAACTAAGATATGCTTCATGCATGCATGTGAATATTGAAACTACCATAGGTAAGAATGTGTGATTTGGCTGATGAAATTGATAATGTGATGATATCTTGTACTGTCTGCATAAAACACAGACATGGTCTGAACTAGATGGGTGTGAATGCAGGAAGGCAATGAAGGACTTTGCACAAAAATTGGAGAAACTTGCAGAGGAGCTGCTTGACCTTTTGTGTGAAAATCTTGGATTAGAGAAAGGGTACCTGAAGAAAGCCTTCTGTGGATCAAAGGGTCCAAATTTTGGCACAAAGGTAGCAAACTACCCTCCATGTCCGAAGCCAGAGCTGGTGAAGGGTCTTCGTGCTCATACAGATGCAGGTGGGATTATCCTTCTCTTGCAAGATGATAAGGTCAGTGGCCTGCAGCTTCTCAAAGATGGCCAGTGGGTGGATGTGCCTCCAATGCGCCACTCCATTGTTGTTAACCTTGGTGACCAGCTTGAGGTACATTCTTTCAGTACTGAAATAATACGTCTCTAATAGGATAATGAAATAGTCTTCAATTCTGGTTATGATTCTAAGAATATTTAGAGTATACAAGTGGATGCAAATCTCGTCTTACAAACCGGTTTTGTAAGGTTGAGTTAGGCTTAAAGTCTATTTCTTAACACATTTTTTGATGAAACAGGTACTCACCAATGGGAAATACAAAAGTGTGGAGCACCGTGTGATTGCTAGAACTGATGGGACTAGAATGTCCATAGCCTCATTCTACAACCCTGCTGGTGATGCTGTTATCTATCCTGCACCAGCATTGCTGGAGAGAAAAACACAAGTGATAGACAAAGTATACCCAAAATTTGTGTTTGAGGATTACATGAGGCTCTACGCTACACTGAAGTTCCAACCAAAGGAACCAAGATTTGAAGCTATGAAAGGCGTGAACACAGTTTAGTTAGTTCCAACCAAACGGCTTAATTGGAGCTGTGCTATACTATACTGCTAGAAGAAATTTTATTGATTTGGAAGAAGTGAGGAAATAGAATGCAATTAAGCAAGAAATAATGGTTGTTTAATCATTCAATTTCTTAATACAGTGGATTGTTTATTTGTACTTCAGAATTGTTGAAATAATATGCAACATTTCTACTCGTTCTATCTTAACCTTGCTGGGTCCACCTTACCCAATTTGTAAAGTGCAATAAACATGAACTCAATATATGACAGTACACCCAACACCAGCACATGAAAAATAGAAATGGTAGCTACCAGAATAGGCAAGACAACTGCATTATCTATATCGGTCCACCAACTTAATGCTCAAGATCAGATTACAACGGTATTTAATTCACCAAAAGAATTATTGAATCAGTATTTTGTGACATGATTCAACCAAAAGAATTAGTGGTAACAAAACTTGCCAACTTTCATCTAAATATTTACCAGACTATGTTCTCTGGCGGTATTGGTTCATAGACTCTGTCTGTAACCTTCCTTGCCTGAGTATGAAAACAACTGGTCTCACGTGCTACCATCAAAACTAATAAAATTTACCACTATTTCCATCAAGAGTAACATCCAAGCTCAACAAAAGAACATTCAGGAAGCAGGAAATATCAGCAACAGTCAAAACAAAAACTTACATACTTCTTGTCAGATGGCGTTA